CTCGCGCACAAACGGCGTCGCTTGCCCTGGCCCACGAGCCTCCATCACGTCGAGGTCTGGCTCACTCTCTGAGTCTCTCCCCCCCCCCTTACCTTGGCGTGATGCATCCGCTCTGCTCTCGCCCTCCCTGCCCTCCTCGTCATCTGCGAGAGGTAGCAGCTGCGGGGGAGCGGACGATGCAGCGGGCACGTGGCGCCAGGTGAAATTGCGGGTGGTGATTACGGTTCCAGCTTCGGTTAGCATGCGAACGCAGTCACGGGGGTGATTGTGGGCAGGACCAAGGTACCATCCCTTTTCGCCCTTGGGTTGCGACTTTGCTTTTCTTCTCGACTTGAACACGGCTGGTTTGAGGAACGGGTATGTAGACCCGATAGGCGGTGGGGAGTCGTGGAATATCTCGAAGGCGGATTTGTCTCCCTCGTTTGATTTAGTGGTGGTGCAGTTCAGCTGATGGCATGCACACGAAATGGCCTCGGCCCACAACCCGGGGTGGTTCGGTGCATCGGGGAACAGTGGCGTCGCTTGGATGCGTGACGCAAGCGCTCTCTCCGCTACACCGTTGTATTTTGGGGTGTGAGGGGGGGTGAACTCTTGTTTGATGCCGTGTCTGCGGCAAACGTCCGCAAACTACCCCTGGAACTCGCCGCCACCGTCGGTACGTGCGATATAAACCTCACACGGAACCCCTTTCGTTCGGTAGTCCGCCAGGAACTTCTCAAACCCAACCGCTGCGTCAGACTTGTGTTTCAAGAAGAAAACACGCGTCCAACGGGAGAAATCGTCTCTGATGATCAGTGTGTACCAGTTGCCACCAATGCTCCTGGTTTTCATCTTTCCCCCCAAGTCGAGATACACGCGAAATAACTTCTTAACTGCGCGTGTGCTCGTGCTCTTCTGGACGGCTTTCACCTGTCCCTTGGACATCGAACAGCCAAGACAGGGTAGCAGCGGTCTATCCGTCAGCTGCACTCCCTGCTGCTCCGCCGTGATCCTGAGCAATGTCTCGTGGGCATGGCCGTGCGCGAGGTGGTACTCGTTGAGGTCAGTGGNGAGATCAGTGGGGTTGGCTGCTTTCGCATCGCCAGGAACAACGAGTGCGGCACAGGCGGTGTGTAGCGTTTGCTTTATTTGAAAGCCTCGTTGGGTCAGCAGCTTTCCAGTCCGGGGGAACGACATCTCCCCCCCGGCTTTCGTGGTCAGCGTGAGGCCCCCCTTCATCCCCGACTACGTGTGGCCCTCCTTTGCCAACGAAGACAGCGAGAGGAGGTTGTAGGGGGCCTCTGGTACATGGGCAGCATTCAGTACTGGTACGGGTACTCCACCAAGTCCCCGCCACCGCCGCCATCGGCGCCTCCACTGCTGCTTCCCTTGCTCTCCTCGACTCCTCCGGACCCGCCTGAGCGACCGCCGCGACCGCCTCCGCCGCGGCCACGACTGCTGCTGCGGCCACGGCCGCCGCCACGACCACGACCTTGCACCTGACTCCTACTTGAGTACCGCTCCATGTGGCCCTCACAGTCGGCGAAGTAAGCTTGCTCTGCGCCCTTTGCCCCTTGTCCTTTCCCCTGCTCCAGCTTGTCCTTGATCGCCTTGTATTCGATCATTACTTCCTCTAGCACACCGGTCCGCGTCAACTCCTTCGCGTGTCGCAGGTTGTGCTTCGTCATGGCATACTCGTCCGAGAGGGAATCCAGGAAGAGGTGAAGGTCGAACGTTTCGTTGACAGTCTTTTCTCGGTTAAGGACTTTGCGGTTTGGAGCATCTGACGTAGGGCATTTTGGGGGTTTTCACCTCTAGAGATCTTGGTCGACGTCAGGGACTTGAGGTCCTCTGACGGCTGTACAGATGATTCAGGGTCGTGTATGGTCTTGAGCTCACGAAGAGCTCCCTGGGGCGACTCTGCCCTCTTCACGATTTTCCGATCTTGTTCTTTCAACGCGTGAGACAGGAAGTTCCACTCGTGGAAAGCGAGCTCTACTTGCTCGCTCCGGTACTGCCTTGACAGCGAAAACTTGCTCTTTCCGCTGTTGACGGGGATATCCAAGCTCCCGCTGTCTTCAAATTGTTCTAACAGGTTTGCGCCATTAGCTGCCATGCGGAAATCATTTAGCCATTCGTTGAAATCTTTCGATTTCCCGCTGAACGGAGGAGAAGTGTACCGCACACTTTGGTACCCCGTCGCTGGGGTTGTGGCTCCGTATCCAAAGCCAACAGCAGCACCACCATCTCCCATGGCACTACTATAATCTTGGTTGTGAGCAGCGGCTACTCTCACCTCTTGGGGGACAAAGCCCCCTGCTTCGCCGCTGTGTCGCCCTGACGGGCCAGACTCTCGAACAGGTTCGCGCAGGTACCTCCCGTCCTGCGCACTCCCGGTCCACGGTGCCCCTCCTTCGGCGTTCGTGGACTCCGCGGCGGCGCTCTCCCTAGCATCGCCGCGATCAGCGGCACCCTCCATGGTGCCAGCTGGCTCCTCCCTCTTGCTTGCCTTCATGGTATCTTCCACTAGCGACATTAGCTGGCTCATCTGATCCGTCAGCGAGCTAACTTGCGTCCTCAGGGCCACGAGCTCTTCTCTTGACCTCTTTCTGTCTTCCGCCGCAGAGTCGCTGGAGGAGTCACCCCCATCTTTGCGACCTGACATTCCTAATGGACTCTCCCTCGAGGGACTGACACAAGTGTGTTCGTGTATGTCCTTTACTTGGAAGGGGAAGACGTTTTTATCTCTTGTATCAGACACGCAAGGGGAGTAGGGAGAAGTGAAGCCCTCTTTGGAGTTCGAGGGGTCCCCGCACATG